AGTTTTCTTTCTCAATGTCCTTCTGATATGATTTTTCTGTCCCACTGCAATCCTAAAAGTAATGGAGCTGACTGACCATGGAATGAAACCTCTGAAACCATGAGTCAAAATAATCTTTCCTCCTCTAGGTTGAATTGCTCAGGTATTTTGTCACAGAGATGGAAATCTTAATAACACTGTAGGTATACTCCAAAATTATTTACGTTTACCTAATCTTTTCCTTATGAGAAAACATTTAAATTCTAGAAAGATTTAAAATTAAGTATGCAAATGACAAAGTCAAACCAAAATTTAAGCAGCTCCAAACTTTAAAATAAAACTTGAATATTAAGTGTATCAATGAATTTTTAAATGCTTCATTAAACAATTTAAAAAGAGCCCCTGAGAGATTTAATTAGAGTAAGACATTATGCTGAATTAAGTTCATGGAACTAAGTTCTATTTTTAAGAGCCAAATGCATCCAATTGTGCAATAGGTGATCCAAACAAATCATCCTTGGGAACAAAACAAAAGTAGACAAAAACATGAGAAGTGGCAATGTAACAATAGTCCACTTCATGCTTTGAATACAAACCTCGCTGCTCTGCCACTGGTGGCTGATTTTAAAACTGACAATTTTTTCCTTCTTCTTGTCCCTCTCACTCTCCCTAACTTAGAAGAATCAAGATTAACCCGATTTCTGTCCTAGGCCACACTATCTGTCCTTTTGCTCACTGAGCACAGGAATGTAGGAATCCAGACTTCTGGGTTAGCACCAGTAGATGTAAGAAATGGCTCTCTCAAGGCAAAGAAAAAAGTGTACTCCTACTAGGACACATCTGGAGTTCAGCCTTTGCATTTCTTTCCACATTTTTTATTGGTGCATTATAGTTGTACACAATGGTGGGATTTGTTGTTACATATCCGTATATGCAAACAATATAAAAATAAAATATAATTTGGCCACAATTACTTCCCAACACCTCCTCACTCCCTCACTGCCTCCCCTGCCTTCCCTTTCTTCGACTGACCTCCCTTTGATTTCATGAGATCCACCTCCTATCTTTTCCCTTTTCCTCTCTAGCTTCCTCATATGAGTTTAACTTATTTTGCTTATTATAATGGTTTTTAGTTTCATCCAGTTTCTTGCAAAGGACATAATTTTATTTTTCCCTATGGCGAAATAAAACTCCATTATATATATATATACCACATTACACTTAGGCTGGTTCCAGTTTGACTATTGTAATTACAGTGTTATAAACATGGATATAAAAGTATCACAATAGTATGATGACTTTAATTCTTCAAGATAAATTTTGAGGACTCGAATTGTTGGGTCATATGGTGGTTCCATGCCTAGTCTTTTGATGAGCCTTTATAATGATTTCCATAGTGGATATACTAATTTACCATACCACCAACAGTATAAAAAAAGTGTTCTTTTTTCTCTGCATCTTATCATTCATTATTATTTGTATTCATAATGATTACCATTCTATTTGTGTGAGATGAAATCTCAGTGTAGTTTTGATTGGCATTTCCCTAATTCCTAATGATGTTAAACATATTTTCACATATTTTTTAGCCATTCATATTTCTTCTTTTGAGTAGTGTCTGTTTAATTCACTTGCCCATTTATTAACTGGGTTATTTGTTTATTTGGTGTAAGGGTTTGAATTATTTGTATATTAATCCTCTGTCTGATGAGTAGCTAACAAAGATTTTTTACTATTCTGTGGGTTCCCTCTTCACATTCCTAATTGTTTTCTTTGCTGTACAGAAGCTTTTTAATTTGATAGCATCCCAATAAAGAACTCTTTACCTTCTTTTCTGAGCTTTAGGTGGGCTATTGAGAAAGTCATTGTGTGTCACTAAAAGCTGGAGTGTTGACTCCAGGATAGCATAGTTTTCTT